AAAAAGAATGAACTATTGATGTTCACCACAACATGGATGAATCTTAAAACAAGTAGCTGAGTGAAAGAAGCCAGGCAAAAAAAAAAAGCAAAAGAGCACATACAGAATGATTCATTTATATAAATGTCCAGAAATGTTATTCTGTAATGAAGAAAGTAGAACAGTAGTTCTGTGGGGAAGTGGGTAGAGGAAGAGATTACAAAGGGACACAAGGAAACTTTCGAGGCTGATGGAAATGTTCCTTTCCTTGATTGTGGTGTGTACATATGTTAAGACTGATCAAATTATGCTCTCTAACTGTGTGTGATTTAGTTTATGTCAATTATACCTCAGGAAGATCAGAAAACACATTGAGAAACCTAACACTTCAGAATGTTTAGATTTAGGTCTTTACCTGGTTCTATTCCAGGAGAAGACTCTTTGTCCCTTAGGAGGCACATAGCAAGAACTCTGCTGTGTTTGGAAACTTTGATCATGCACCTTATGCAGCCTACAGTTAATCAAAACTATAGCTGACACGTGAAAGATCTGACCTTACGTGATAAAACACATGTAGTCAGATCTTGGTGGTAGGAGAATTATTTATTGAGATATATGGCTCACTCAGCCACACAAGATAGGTGAGCATCTATCATTGTAGGAGAGCATGAATGGGGTCTTAACTGAGTACCACGAACTCTTAACTGGAAGAGGTGATGTCAGTAGTCCTGTGTTCAGCTTGAGTGAATATGGTCAGATTATAAAAAAGCTCCAAAAGTCACATCAGAAAAATAATTGAATTTGTTTTACTTGATGAGGCCCCTGAGTTTCCTAGATTTTTTGACTAGCTATAGATCCTATCTTTCCAATGCTATCGGTGTTCAACCTTTTCTGTGGCTTTCAAACTTTTTCAGAGCAATAGACTCTTTAATCAAGCAAAGTATCACTCAAAACATTTACCTCAATCACTGTCTTTGCCATTGATAACAGTAGAATCTTATGACTGTATATTTGTTTTAGAAGGTTGCATTTTGATCCTTATAATAAATAAGAATAACCAGAGAATAATGGCTACGCAGGGCCATACAGGGTTTGTGGATTTTTATTGGTGGTATGTCAACCTCAGCATGCATTTCCATATCTTGTTTGAATTGCAGAGTTTTCAGAAATCTGAATTGTACAGATAAGTAGTTTCAAATTTTTTTTTATCAGTGCCCATTGAAAACTGAATATACTCTTCAATTAAACTGATCTAGATGCTTGAGAGGATAGTAACACATGTCTGCCTGTAAGTTAAATCACTAATAATCCCTAACAACTGAATTCATTCCTTACCAAAAAAGTCAGGCAAAAAGTGTCCAAAATTTACAGTCATCGCTAAAATTACCTAATATGAAAGTGACACAATTCCAGGTGCTGGACATTTACTTGTTATTGTACATCTTCTACTCTGTGGCAAGCATACATAAAGCAGACACGCCCAAGACTTGCCTGACACATCAGCACAGTTCACACATGTTGTAGCAGTGTTTTTACTTGTGTAATTTTTTGTGTTCAGACAGGCAAAAGCCTGAATCAAATTAGGGGGAAAAAGAAGCTGAATCAGAACAGAGTGAGAAACTCAATAACCAGAGAAGCAACAAGTTCAAATAGACTAATCACTCTTGCAGAAACGTTGTGGTAGACAGAATTCTAAGATGACCACACAGTGATCTATGTATGTTGTATGACCCTGTCCCCTTTGAGTGTATGTGGAAACTTTCAATTACTTTTAACCAAGAGAGCATGGCAAAAGCACTGGGCTACCACTGCCATGATTACGTTACATCATATGGCAAAGGTGAAGGAATTTTGCAGATATAATGAAGGTCCCTTATTAGTTGACTTTAACTTAATTAGAAGGGAGATTAGTCTTGGTGGGTCTGACTGAATCAGGTGAAACCTTTAATAGAGGGTGGCGAGATCAGAGATAGAAATCAGCCTCTCCTGCCATCTTGAAGAAACACCTTGAGATGCACAGTGGCAAGGACTGAATTATACAAACAAGCACTTGGGCCTGGAAGGGGATCTTGAGGCTCAAATGAGACCCTAGACCCTCTCAGCACCTTGAAAATTCCAAGAGCAGAAGGCCCAGCTAACCTGTGCCCAGACTCCGGGCCTATGAAAGTTGTATGATAAGAAACATGTACTGTTGAAATTGCTAAATGTGTGATAATTTGTTATCCAACAATAGAAAGAAAATGTATATTGACGTTGACATTGTTAAATGAATTTATAGATATTGATATATATATCAAGATATAGACTAATGCCAAAAAGTGCTTCATTTTTGTAAAAAGAATAATAGTTTATGTTTATGTATATATCCATATAAATATAGTACAGCAATCCCCAAACATATTGCTAGGAGTGAAGAATAAAAAAATTCAAATTTATAGAATGCAGGATTATGTTATTGGAAGATTACTAAAATGATCAGAATAAGCCTCCTTTGGAGGATGATAGCCAATGTCAATTGTGATATATTTAATGCGTATTACTGAGGAGTGCTTTTTTTTTTTTACAGGGTTTCAATAAAAGTAATATATGTAAATAACATTAATATTGTAAATAATGAAAAATAATAAAAGTAATATTTGATATTTACAGCTTACTCTATGTCTGTATTCTTCTAAATTCTCTTTTTGTCATTCCTTCCCTCTCTCTCTCCCATACACACACATACACATACCCACGCTAATTTAATGTTCAGATAAGAAAGTATGAGGGGCCGGCCCGTGGCCGAGTGGTTAAGTTCACGTGCTCTGCTTGGGCGGCCCAGGGTTTCACTGGTTCGGATCCTGGGCACGGACGTGGCACCGCTCATCAAGCCACGTTGAGGTGGCGTCCCACATGCCTCAACTAGAAGGACCCACAACTAAAATATACAACTATGTACTGGGGGCATTTGGGGAGAAAAAAAGCAGACAAAAAAAAGATTGGCAACAGTCATTAGCTCAGATGCCAATCTTTAAAAACAAAAAAGAAAGCATGAGAAAATTGTTATTATTATTATTATTATTATTATCTCCTTTTTTTCAGTCACAGAGCTGAGCTGCAGATATTTGGGAAAATTGCCTGAGATCACAGAATGTGGCATAGCTGCGATTTAAAGCCAAGCAGTCTGGCTCCAAAGAAAAACATACCCTTGTAATTAATATAATACTATTTTTACCTTCTGAATAAACATTTAACATGTTGAAGAATTTGAAAGTTAATCGTGCTGCAACACAAGGTGAACAAAATCATTTTAGTGTAAAATTACATGTAGCTCGAAAGTGACTGATTTTCTTGACTCCCTTTAAATTTACACCAAATGTAAAAGGTCTTCTCGCCCAGTGTTGTCTCTGCCTTCAAACATAGAAAATACAGAATTAAAGACTTGACTGCAAGGAAAGAAGAACAGGGAACAGATCCATTGTTGGCATAACACTTGATCTACACCTAATTTTATGGGTGAAATAAGATTTTTAAAAATTTTTCATTGTCTCCCCAAAACCTTGTTTCTCCAAAGAGCAGCCCCCTTGATAAACATTTTTCAACAGAAATTAGTGTATGCTGAACGCCAGCAAAAGAAAGTATTAAAACAGCCTTGTGCTCCTCCAATAAAATGCTATTTTTTTAGCCTTTTCCCTACCTTGTGGGGACACATTTGAAACTGAATGGCATAAAATACCAAATGTTACAGTGATGAATGCAGAGAGTGAGAGAGAGAGATTAAAATGATCTCTTATAAGATCATTTAGAAGATCTTGTAGGACAAGAGAGCATTTGTGTCTTGTCACACAAGAGATGAGAGAAAGACGTAAAATTGGTCTCCTCAGTTCTCACTCTATTCCATTCCAGTGCTTATATCGTAAGTCTGTCCATTTTGCTGGCTACAACTGAAGAAATTTCTGGATACAATTTTCACAGAGAACATGATAGGTTTTTGAAAAAATTGCATGATATGATAGATTCTGATTTTTTTTCTTGATTGTCTTCATTATTTCTTCTGTGATTAATCATAGCCTTTATTGAATTGGTATTTTTCCTTTCATACATGTCTGCTAATATAGGTTTTAAGCATCAGTTCTCTTAAATTATTTCCTAAATGAATGTAATCACATAGCGGAAAATAATTAAATCTAAAATAACAATTTAGGAATAGTAAGGAACCTCAGAGAACAGTATTAATTAACTCTTTCCTGCCATTAGTTTCCCTGTCACTACTGAAGTGTTCCAAATAGCATAATCATGTACTCATTTTTCCACTAGGGACTTGAGAACCAGACAAGCCCTAGTAAATTGAAAGGGAAACAAATTGATGATGATGAAGTGCAGCACTAAAAAATGATGGAGAGTGTAAAAAATCTGGAGGACAGCTTTTGTTTTCTTCCACAAAAAAAAGGAATTTAAATTGAAATTCCTAAGTGTTTAGAATTACATTTGACATCCCTCTTATTTCAGAAGATGTTATTGTATGCTATATTGTTCGGCTGCTTATATGCAAAAATCTATTTTAGATGCCTTTTAAATACATCTTTACTATGCACGTGCTCACTGTTTGGGGTTTTGATGCTTTATGGGTTTAGATACTGTCTCCCTCAACAATGTTAAAGCTTTCTAGGGGCATGGAGAACGGTCCATGCATCTCCACTTGCCCCCAGCACCCTGCTCTGCACTTTGCATACAGAGAAGCCTCATCACTGAGTATGTACCTGTTATCTGCTTGCGTGAATTTATCTACTACATCTATTTGATCTTTCATAGGCTCAAAGCCTCATGATTGACTTGGCCTCTTTATGTTTCATTAAATTTCAATTCTTAATACACAGTTTTACAAACAGAGGATGAAAAAGCCTTCTCGCTAAACTAGCACAAGGCATAAACACTTCAACCCTCCCACTCCACACTCTTGTGCTTCTACAGAAACACTTCTAATGTAAGCTTCTCCAGCAAAGGCTAGGACTTAACCTCCAACACTAGGGATATTCACTCACCTAGACTGTAGCGCTCTGTAGTTGCCGTGAATTTATTTCAATGCCAGCCAACTGTTACTGCTGCAGATAAAAAGATGCCCATGTTACCTGATAAAAGCCTTCTAACTTAGTGTAAAGAATATGTTTACATTAGCGACAAAAGATAATTTCCATTAAAACTTACATTATTTTAAAATTTTTGTTTTAAAATCAAAGATAAGGAATAACTCATGGAATAATTACAAAGTTAGAACAATAATATCACCACCTTTCCTACTGTCATTCCAGTCTCCTTTTAAATTAGGAAACTGTAAGCCCTAAAGAGGGGTGTGCAAGGTGAATATCGTGCTGTCTTTCTAGAACCAGATGCAAATCTCTAAGCCATTATATTAAAAGGAAATCTATTTTATAAAAAGTTCTGTTGGACATACCAAAGTAGCATTTAATCTTCTAAACTTATAAGGATCAATGTGACAAATTTGCATTTCATACAAGAGATGAGAAAAAGTGGGGTCTTCAGTTGTCTTTATTCTCCTCACTTTACCCTGAGATATGCTGGCACTTTAGTTGGTTTTTTCGTTTTTCAGGACTGAAAGACAGTGATATGAATAAAAATTAAAAACAGGAGCCATTGAATTTTATTATAAGGATGAATTATTTCTGTTTTCTAGAGCTTTCAAAAAAAGTCAGTTAATATTACAAAGCAGTAATTTAATGAATTATAGATAACATGATACCAGCAAGCCCAATAAAAAGACTTTATCACATCGAGAGGAACAAGTTCAAGATGAAGCTTCATCATAGATGGGACAAATAAACCCAAAGTATTCAAAGAGATTTATAGTCTTTCCTTCGTTCCCTTAAAAAAGAAATTTCAATACTCCAATTATTTTCTGGACTAAGTCCCAGCCAAACTCTTCTCTTATGTAACGCTCATCAAATTACTCCTTATTAATCTTAATTCCATCGAATTAAACCTTCTAGCCTTCCTTCCTGCTTCAAAGAATCATTAGGATTTCTCCCTTAGATTATAAAAGAACTAAGTTATGCTGCGTCAGTTTCACCAAGCTCTTATTTTTCTCTGATAGGAATTGTAAACTCAAATGATGCTGAAGGAAAAAAAATAATGCTACTTATAATATTTTGGTGGACCAACATTACTAGAATATATTATTGTAATTTTACCACTTGTACCAAACATTGCATCATTCTCACTTGTTCCATGTAGCTTTGAATAAATTTTCCTGTCTCATCTGTGCTCTTCTATCTGTGCTATGGACTAAAATCTTGAATCTCTCATTCTTTCCTAAATTTATGTCTTTCTCTTATCCTACCTTTTGACTCCCTGTAGGATGCAGGAAGCTCAGTAGTGAATTATTTAGTGTCCATTTGGCTGAATCTCAAACAAGTGTTTATGTGTCAGAGACATATAGCAATAGAAGGGCAAATAGTAAGATTATAATAATGTAGAATTTAAATAGTAAGACAATATTTGAATATAAAATGGTCTGGCCTGGATCTGCCTAAACCATGAATTGACATTTTCCATATCATTTGCCTGTGTTTATTTGCAAATTGGCAAATAAAATAAAGGGTTTTTTCTTAATTATTGGATGTAAAGTTTTATGAAAACTTATTACTTTGCATTCAGATTTATATCTAACTTATTTGGTGCATTTATTAATTTGTACTAATGAAGTAACATTATAAAAAATATCAAAGCGAAAATAAACATATATCATAATTAATTGATTGATTTTTTCTTGCAATTTACCTTTATCTCTCTAATTGAATAACTAGAATATTACACCTCCACACAATATTCTAAGACTGAGTAGAATGGAGATTTTATTTCACATCTTCCTCTTACTTCACCATATTCTCTGCAAGCCAGTTTCCCAACCTGTAGAATAAGCAAGATAAGATGACAGCTCTCTCTGGAGTGTATCAAAACACGCCAGAGCAATAAAAACTGCGATGGCAAAGATTAAGGTTTCTGACCCCAATTGTGGCATTTCAGCTTTTTAAAGAGCCGCTGGAGAATGGCCTGGAACCTGCCCTCTCTGTCTTGCTCTCTCTTGTCAGTGCACAGGGCGTTTCACAAACACTGTGAAACTGAGAAATCTCTCTTTGAGAATGGAGCCCTAGGGATGATTTGAATCTTTTAACCCGCTGGCAAACTTCTCCATCCTGGAGGATTAATCGGCCCTTCAGTCGAGAAACTTTTGAAGACTTGAAGGTAAAGTTACAGGCATCCACGTCGAGCATATGGGGGACACTTTAAAGGGACAAGCACAGATTCTTACTTAAAAGAGATTATGACTGAATCATGGAAGTAAATGATACATGCAATCAGAATAGATATGATCATATTAAGAATTAAGTGACTGCTGGCATGGCCATTCATTTCCCATTGTGTTTAAGACACTATATTAGGCACAAAGATGGGTTAGGCACACGGCCTTCCCTCATGGATCCTTACATTAGAAATAAGAAATGGACAACCATGTATAGGATAGAATATAGTCAATGGTAAGTAACATAAAAAGGGTATGAATCAACATCACGGAAGATCACAAGAGAAAGGAGTTACTTTCACAAAAAAAATCAAATAAGACTCTCTAGGGAGAGTAGGATTTGAGCAAGGCTTGAAGAACTGTTAGAACTTAACTATGGGAAGTAGATAAAGAAACGACCATCCGCAAAGAGAAAAACAAATGTGGCAGCAATAAAAGGGCCTTGAATGCCAGAGTTTTACCTTCATTCTTCAAAACAGGATTTCCAAAACTGTAAAGAACATTAATGTCCATTGAGACATAAATGGATATTCCGTTGGAAATAAAGGCGTCTCCAAAAGAATTACATTTGTGAAAGGTTAAATACGCTATAGATCAAGAGCTCTATAGAGCTGGGGGTCATGGAGTAGAGACTGTTATTAGGACTGCTACCATCACTACCACCACTAACAGCTGTTGCCTCTGAATAGGAGCGGAAGCCAATGGCATGTGAGGATGAGGTGCTGTGGGTTTGTGAGCGAGGACAGCCTGACTGATGCTGTATCTTGGAAAGGTAACCAGCAGTATTTTGGATAAAAATAGAGTAGATCCCGTGATGTTTTTCTAAAGTAGAGGCTGGATAGTGTCACTTCTCTAGTTAATACTTTGAAGTGACTTCTCAACTCACTTAGAGAAAAAGCCAAAATCCTTACTCTGCCTTTGAGGCTCTAGGTCTGGTCTCTATCTCCCTGATGTCATCACCTATCCCTCTCTCTGTCTCTCTCTTGAAAATTCTGCCCCACCCACACTGTCCTTTTCCCACACAGGGCACCCTCACATGCCTTGCTATTCCAGGGAACAGTTTCCCAGATTTCTACATGGCTCATTCTCTCATTTCCTTCAATTGTCTGCTCTAATTCACTTTAACTTTATTATCAATGACCACTCCATTGGAACTTTTGTCTAACTTTCAGTCCTCTTACCCTGCTCAGTCGTACTTATCACTCTTATCATCCGATCATATACTACACATTTGTTTATTTCTTTGTTGTGTGTCTCCCACACTAGAGTGGCTGCTCCAAGAAAAAAGGGACGTCTGTATCCCTGGTACCTAGAACCGTGCCGGGCACCTAGTAATTACTCAATAAATAGGTATAGAAAGGAGCCAATGGAGAGAAAACTAAAGGTGTGGAGACTAATTAGAAAGCGTTTTGTAATATTGAATGTAAAACAAAATAAGGGCTTAAACTTAGGTAGGAAAGACTGAAACTTACCTACAAACAGTTATTTCAGGCATGTATTACAGTGGAGAGGGATGAGCTGTGAAGGCAGATGGTCTCTGGATCAAATCCTAGACTCCCAACCTAGTAGTTTCAGGACCACATGTAAAATACTTCATCTCTCTTAACCTCAATTTTCTCCTCTGTAGAAGAGGGAAAATGTCCCCTTTTTAGATTGCTATAGGTTATAGAGAAAATGTGTTGTCTACAGTAGGGCCTAGGTGCTAGCAGTGACATCTTTACAGTGTCACATATTTGAAGATATTTTTAAAATAGGAGTAGATGTTTTATCTGTGTTGAGTTTTCATAGAAGTTTTTAAGTTGTGCCAAATAATGCACAATCTTTATGTCTTTTGTAATGTCTGTAGTTTTGTCTTTTGTTTTTTGGGTTTTTTTTGCTGAGGAAGATTAACTTTGAATTAACATCTGTGCCAATCTTCCTCCACTTTATATGTGGGTTGCCTCCACAGCATGACTGTTGAGTGGTGTAAGTCCACACCCAGGATATGAACCTGTGAACCTGGTGAAATGGAGCTGCCAAACTTAACCACTATGCCACCAGGCTGGCCCCTGTCCATAGTTCTTAGTATGATCCTATTACTACTATTTTATTATTGAAAACAAATAGAGACATACCTTGGAGATATTTCGGGTTTGGTTCCAGACCACCACAATATAGCGAATATCATAATAATATTAGTGAGTCACACAAATTTTTTGGTTTCCTGGTGCATATAAAAGTTATGTTTAGCCTATACTGTAGACTATTAAGTGTGCAATAGCATTATGTCTAAAAGGACACTGTACATACCTTAATTAAAAAATGCTTTATTGCTAAAAATGTTAACCATGGTCTGAGCCTTCAGAGAGTTGGAATCTTTTTGCCAGTAGAGGGACTGGTAAATATCTGCGAATTGCATTTATATATCTATAATAACAAAAACTTCCACTTCATCAACATGAATGATGTGATTTTAATACTAACCAAACAATTTGAGGTATATTTATATCTAATGTGTTTTAACATCTTAGAAAGCAGGCTCAGAGTGGTAAAGTCACTTGTTCATTGTCACACAGCATATAAATGAAAGAACTGGGATTCAAATTCAAATATTTCTGGAATTCAAATTCATCTCATGATGTTTTCATATACTTATATTTTATAGTTTCTGAGTTGACAGCTTTTTCCTCGGGTGAGGTCCATCTCTATTTTAGTTTTTAAAACTTTAGCTTCCCCTCTGCTTACTTCATTTTATACCATCTACCTAAAATGGCTATTCATGTTAGCTCTTTCTTCACAGACTTCTAACAACTTCCTACTTCACTTTGATCCAAAAATAAATGTTAGATTATGACCTTTAAACATTTACTCCAAATTGTCGTTTCTGCCTCTTATTTACCATCTAAGTTTACGACCCTTTGAACGTAGCTCTGCAAATGATTCTGCAGCTCAGAACCAGCGGCTCTCAAAGTGTGGAGGAGGCAGAAATAAGGGAAAATAAATTCGCATAACTTGGGGACATTTTTTCAAATTCCCACCCCTTTCCATTCCCAGACATTCCCAGGCCAGGGGCTCCAAGCACCAGAACTTGTGAGACCACTCCAGTATTTAATACACCCCTCACTTCACACCTCACGGCTGAGAGTAACCAGCCAGGAGAGTAAATTTTTTTGATTTTCTGCTCTGTATCGTCAGTGTCTAGCTTAACACCCATGTGGCAGCAGCGTCACTATGTTTCATGTTCTCTTCCACTTGGCAAGAGAGAAACAGAAAAAGAGTGAGAGAGAGGAAGGAAAGCTCTCATCTGCGAGAGTTAAAGGTTCATTAATGGATGAGTTTGAACTCTACACGAGTCTAAAAAGAATATTATATATGCGTTTTTTGAGAGAAACGGTGACAGTTTTCTAGGTAGACACTGGAAGAAAATAGCATGAACAGAATGCGCATAAGATTGAGGCAACTGTTCTGTAAAGGACAGAAAGGAAATTGGTGTGCTGGAAAGTAATAACACATACGTATGTTAGTAATTTAAATCGGTACGTTGGTAACAAGTCTAACTTGTCTTCCATTCTTTTTTCTAGCTCAGGTCTAGCAACATGGGATTTGAGGCTTATGATTTCCACGTTCTAAATGTTTTCAAGATGAAAAATTTTTAATGTATTTATACACTTTTCACATTACAGAGTGTTGATTCCCATCTCAATGAGAAGTACAGCTGTCTACTGACTAAGCTATTGTACAAACCTTCTGTGATCTTCCTTGTCTTAAATCTTTTTACCTGGTTTGTCTGTCTGAATGGGCCTGTGCTCACCTGGCCTCTTACTATGGAATTCAGCAAAGATCTTCTTTCTTCAGTGACCTTCCTGTGACCCCTACAACCTCGGGTTAAAAATGTCTCTTATGCTCTCCTAGCATCCCATTATTTTCTCCCATTACACTAGTCATAGACTCTGGTGCAGTTGCCAACTTACTTATTTGTCTCGGCCAGTAGGGATACCCTCCTTGCAGGTAAGACATTATTTTTTCTTAAATTTGAATCACTTATTTTACTGCTTGATGCATTGTAGTTTCAACTGCAGGTACCAGTTTTGAGAAAGAGAACTAGCATCTGTAGTTTAAAAAAAATCAAACTTAAAAACCTGTTGCCGTAAGTTAAGGGTAACGGGACCTTTGCTGAAGGGAAATTGAGGGGACTTAGTCTCACGAAGTTGAGTGTGAAAGAGATACCTACTCTCTAATGTAGCCATCTGCTCTGATAAAGGAGTTGGGAACAGTCTTAAATATCTTTTTTTAGGTATAGAAGAAATAAAATGTTCAACAAATTTCTACTTCAGTATATTTTAATTTTAGCTCTTTTTTGAGTAGCTAAATGGAATTTTTTCTTTGTATATGATAAAACATATACATCCATTTAAATTCATTCAATGTTTATTGAGAAAATACTATACAGATTGGTTCTGAGAGCACTAGCTTCTGGATGAATGATTGTTCTGTTACAAGAGGATCCAGACCTTCTTTGTTAGAAACTCTGTGAAACAAAGATATACAAATTATTGGAGATAAAATGTGTCTCAAAAAGTAAAAGAGATTCTTTTCATTTAGTTTAGGAAATAAAGCAAGATGAA